CTTACAGTCTATCATTGAAGGAACTCAGGGCGGTTCAAGCAAGAACTTAAAGTAGAAACCATGGAGGGGCACTGTTTACTGGCTAGATCGTTCAGGCTTATGCTCAGCTAGCTTTCTTACAAAGCCCAGGATCACCTGCCCAGGGAATGGTGCCACCCACAGTGGGCTGGGCCCTCTGACAACAATTAATAACCAAGACCAAACCCCCACAAACATGCCCACCGAGTCAACCTGAGCTGGGCAATCCTTCAAATAAGACTCCCTTCTCAAGTGACTCTTGGCTGTGTCAAGTTGACAGTTAGAGCTAATTAGACAGCAATTTTGAGGCAAACCTGGCCTGAATGTGACCCTGTCTCAAAAACAATTGGATGGGGACATTTTCACGGGAGCCTTTGAAGAGGTGGCCATTGTTTCAGTTTACTGAGGGGAACAAAGAAAAGTCTCTCCCAGAGAAAGCCTAAAGGATGAAGGATGCCTCCTGGGTGGCACCAACTGCTAGCCTAGCAGTGAACTAAACAATAGCGTTCCCTCTGGAAGTGGGAAATCCTGCTGGTTCTATACCGTCAGTCAGCAGTCTAGCCAAAAAATCTGCTTAGTTCTTCAATATCAGTGTAGAACCCTGCTGCACCTGGCCAGGAAGGACAGCTACCTACCAGCTGGGTGTGCTCCACCTCCCCCCAGCTACTCCCCTGGGGCAATAAAATGCTTTCTAAACTGGAGGGGGGGAGGGTTGGTTCAAAGATCTGGTTAATCTGAATAAGAAAATCACAAGATCGGAAAGCAGACCTAAGCCCACGTTTCAGTACTCCTGTTGCTTATTCCGTATGACTCCCTCCCTCCCTCCATCCCTCCCTCCCTCCCTCTCTCCCAACACCACGCCTCGAGGGATTGTGTTTTCTGCAACCAGACTGGTCTCCCTTATCACTGGGCATGAGTGTGGCAGGTGTTGTAGTACCCATGAAAGTTTCTGGTTCTGTCAGAACAGCTGGAGGCCTCTGGGGCAGGGCAGCAACACAGAGAGTCTCCCTGTGGCTGTCATAGAAGAGATTTCCACTTGGGAGCTTTAACGTACACAAAGCCAGACCCAACCCAAAATTTCAGCCTCCTCACCAGTCCCAAGCCTGGACGACGCTGAGGCACGGACCAAGCTGCAGATTTCTTATTTGTAAAATAGGGACATCCAGAATTCTTCCCTTAAAGAGCTGTTGTATTAGCCAACAATTTCCATATAAAGCATTGAGTAGACAGTCTGGCATGTATTTAACTTCAATAAATTTCTGCTACTATTACTAAGGGAGGGAAGCCATTGTGGTTCAAAACTTAACGTGTGATTTGCCAACCAAACACGCAGAGCTGCCAGCTAAGGTAGCTCCCACTGGCCTTCCTCCCCACTTGGGAACCTACATTTTTTCATTTCCCTTCCACTTAAATACCACTTTATCCTTATAAAGGGTCATTTAGGAAGTGAAATCACCAACATCAAAGACTAAAGATTATAACTGTGGACATGTGTGAGATCTCTCCCAACTTCCCTCTCCCCACTTTTCCTTCCTCCCACATACACATACACCTGATATACACACACACGTGTGCAGACACCACCCACACTTCAAATTCCTCTGTGCCTATCCTCCAAGTTGTCACTAAAGGACATGGACTGTTTTTCCTTCTTTGTTTTTCTTCATCTGAACTACATGTTCCTTCATTCTATAGTTTCTCCAGCCTAAAAAAAATGTTTAAGAGCCACTCTAAGAGTGCTATAATTTCTAACTCAACTCTTCATGATTTGACTAAGGAAAATAAAAAGGTAATAAGGTTAATAGTACCTTATTCTTAGGATACATGAGGAGAAAATTTCTTCTGCAAAGTTTAAATGAGGGAATCACCACTGGGTCTCCTAGCTCACTTTGGTCATAATGGTTATTGCACTAGAGTCTCGAGCTGTGAAGACTCCATGCTTCCTTTTCATTCACCTAATTTCCCCAAAGGACATCTCTTCCTAGGCTAATATTTAGTGAAAAATAAAAAATAGAAATGAGAAATGGAGACCTGGGTTCTTGGCCTGATCTTATTCTTCTGGTTAGCTTTAGGAAAAGCAGGAAACTTCTCTGGGTCTTAACTCTTTCTTATATTAGGCAATGGACTACAGAACCAATACATCCCTAGTTTACCAATCCGGGATACCAAAGAGAAAACTGGGCGATGGTTCATTTGGTAAAGCATTTGACTTGTAAGCATGAGGACCTGAGTTCCATTGCCAGAATGAATGTAGGAAGAAAAAATAAAACAAAACTCGCCAGGCTTAGTATAACAAGCTTGCTGGGGTGGCAAGGATGGGCAGATCCCTGGGACTTACTGACCAGTGTAACCAACTTGGCAAATTCCAGGCCAAAAAAACAGAGAGCCAGCAAGATAGCACATTTGGTAAAGCACTCAGTGCACAAGCAGGAGGAGCTGGGTTCGAGTCCCAGAACCCATATAACAAGCTGTCATTGGTGGTATATGCTTGTGATCCCAGAGCAGGGGAGGCAGAGACAGGTGGATCCCTGTGGCTTGCTGGCCCACCAGTCTCCTCTTTTAAAATTACCAGGCCAATGTGAGGCCCTGTCTCAAAAAACAGGGTGGGTGCCAATATGATGGCTCAGTGGGTAAAGGGACCAAGGCTGCCACCAAGCCTGAGGACCTGAGTTTAATCCTCAATACCCTCATAATAGAAGGACAGAACTGACCCCAGAAAGTTGTCCCCTGCCTCCACATACATGCCTTGCCATGTAAACATGTGCACACACACAAAGTAAATAACTACACATATCCTTCTCTTTACCAACAGCATCCATAGAATTCCACTCTTCTGGCTCACCCTCGGACTTGGTCAAAGGTCTTTTATTAAGGACTGGTGCTATGGAGTATTGAAAGACAATAGCTTAGCATGTTTGCCTTGACAGGATATTTGCATATTAGTTGAGACTAGAAGCAAAAATAGGTGGCTCTGGAGACCAACCAACCAGAATGCTATTTCTGGATTAAAAGAATCCTTTTGAACTGTTCTCATCGTACCATATGGCTGTTGCTGTCTCTGTCTCTGCCTAAGCCAAGACAGATCAGACTGGCGTGACAATGTTCATGAAGACTTTCTCCTGCAACAGAGGCTGAGAAAATACCCCTGTATACCAGCTTTCCCAGAAGTTGTAAAGGGAATGGACACAGGAGAACACATACCTCATTTGCCCATTTCCATGCAGATAGCACAGGATCTGGTGTGTGAGGTGTGGCTGCATCCACAGAAAAGAACACTTAATGCATTACCAGCGTCTGTAGCCTTGGCGATCACGCTGGTCAACATGAAGCCTACAGTCGGCACCAGGTTCAGGGTCACATGAAAGAACTTGGCATGAGGATAGTGTGCATATCCCATTCTCAGCGTCCAGAACCTCACTCATGAAAAGGGAAGTGGCCATGATCACAAAAAAAAAAAATAACTAAGTCCACAGATTTAAAAAACTACTGCATTTAAAATTTAAAAGAATTCTACTCTGGACTCAGAGTAGAATTGAAGGGGCATAACTGACAAACCCATTCGTCAGTTGTGTGGGATGGGAGAGGTGGACATGGATACGGAGGTGTGTGTGCGTGTGTATATATGTGTAAGAGTAGTGCAACGGGCGATCCGAGCATTCCTCAGGCACCCTGGTCCACCACAGTTTGTTTTTGAGAAAGAGTCACTCACAAGCCTGGACCTGACCAAATCATCTGGGCCAGCTGTCCAAGCAGTCTTGGAGGTCACCTGCTCCACTTCCGAGCACTGCCATCACACCTGGCTTCTTCACACGTGTACTTGAATAGCATGCAGGTGCTCATGCTCCCTAATGCCCAACGACGCTTTATCAGCCATGTTCCACATAGCGGTCTCTAGAACAGTTGCTGTCAGCACAGCACAGCCCTGATACTCACACAAAAGAGGGGGCCAAGAGCAATCTACAGTTCCCTAATGAGAGGACTGGGCTAAAGGAGGGCCTTCGTCTGATTTCCCGCTCTGGTCACATGGAACATGGAACAGAAGAGGTAACTTACATGTGGTGATCCAGAGCCTGTGGAAAAGAAGTCCAGCTTCTAAGCACAGAGACAACCTGTTTCCCTGCACTAACCATATCCTCACACACCAAGGGAAACCCAGTCATGCTGTTAAGAATGATGTCCACTGGGCCAGCAAGAGGCTGTGGTTGGTAAAAAGTATATGCCGAGCAAGCCTGACAACCTGAGTTTGGTCTCTGGCACTCACATAGCAGGCTGGATATGGTGCGTTCACCTGAGATTCCAGGGCTGCTATAACGAGATGGGAGGTGGAGACCAGGGAACCAGTGGGAAGTTCCAGGGCCAGCTAGCCTGGAATACACAGCAAGCAGCCGAGACGAGAGAGACTTTGCCCCAGTTAGGTGGAAGGCAAACTGGACTCCTGGAAGCAGTTCTATGATCTCCACAAGAATTCACCACACTCTCACACACATGCACAGCGTATGCACACATGCTAAATCCAGTTTTTTAAGGAATAGTGTCCACCAGAGTGAGAAAGAAATGTTATGTAGGATGAAATGGAGCCCTCGGCCACTTTCTCGGCTCTTCAACACTTCAGAGCTGTATTGAATTTTTGTTCAGCTCCACAGTTTACTCATGCTGGAGCAACTACACATAGGCCTGGCATTTGGACTGAAGGCACAGGCGCATTTTTGTACAGGCTAATGTCTATTTCAGCCAGAATTAATGCAATTATATGTAATGTTGACAGATTATGACATTTACCTATTAAGACACTATACAAACATTCCAATAATTTGCTGGCTTTTGAGTTTGTAAAAAATAAATGAGCCCAAATCTCAAGGGGTGTTGCTAATGGGGTAAATGGAATCAGGGTTTTAGGAGCTGGGCGTTCAGGAAATAACAGTCAAAGAATAACGTATTTGAAGCCAAAACACATACAGTGGTCAGTGAATATTAGCACTTACCACAAGACTGCTGTCCAGAGAGAGTCTTTTACCAAAGTCCCTTTTATACAGCTGTCTCTTCCCCTCCATGGGTGAGTGATGGATTTTCCTTTGCAATTTATCAGAATCCCCCTTCTGTCTCCACGGCCACTGCAAAAAGTGAACATAGGTTTTGTGATCAAGCACAGTGTTTAAACTTTTCATTTTGCACTGTTCCTACCAGAAACTAGGGCCAAAAAAGTGCCCAGACCCAAACAGTAAGTCTAACACTTGCGAGGCCTCTCGGCTCGCAAGACTTCTCTCAGGGGCACACACTTGAGCCATCTTTGTGGAGGTGCACGTATTTTTATAGTTTGTGTTTGCAGGGCTGGGGGATGGGCTGGCGCGTTAAATCAGCAGACTGTGCCAAAAGCAAACTCTGCATCACGCCACACTTGCTCCGTACCTGTTTTCTTTCCATCTGCCGGAACAAGTCTCTTTCTGTGCACACAGGTGCTGTCTGCAAAGCCCATGAGCTCAAACCCAGAAAACCACACTCCAGAACCACACAGAACTTTGGCTCCCTGGGATCCAATGTGCTCCTCTGGCCTCCCTGGGCAACTGCACTCACATGCAAATACCCCCACAGAGATACATCATTTTGAAATTAGAATAAATCTCTTGAAATGTCATTTCAAGTTTTTGAGCATTGGAAGATCCATTGGTTTTGAGGAAGCCAGGATCAGTAGACTCTGGATAGTGTCATCATGGACAGCACCTATTTATAGAACACTACCTTTAGCACACAGCTCATCAAGGATTACATGGATGCTGCTTGTTCTCAAATGAGCAAGAATTTTGCTTAATAAAAGTTCACCACATGTATTAGGTTCCAAGTTTCAATTGTAAAAGACCAAAAACAAAAAAAGGGAATGTGCCCTGGTGACTTCATGCTACAGTCTCCCCACACCCTTGAGTCCAGGCAGCACAAGGTCGAGTCTGTGTGTTAACTTTTAAAAAGGAAATGAGAGGTTTTGAGAGAATGGAGGATGGACCTAGGAAAGATAAGGATAGGAATGGGAGGCAAATACAATCAAAAGGTATTGTATACACACGTGAAACTCCCAAAATAATTAATAAAATGGGTATATTTTTAAAAAGAAATGGATTTGATTCTATTTTCCTTACCCTTTGGCCATACGGCCATAGAGAAGTCATTCAACCTCTCTGCATGTCTTTTTACTCTCAACTGTTATAGTCATTTAATTGTATCACTGGAAGAATGTGGGAACTGTTGAATAGTAGAGTATAACGTACAGTGAATTATAAATATCAACAGGTAATCTTAACAACTACTGAATAAAATTCACTATGCCTTTGATGGTTCAAAGAACAGTTGAAAATATAGAAATTGCCTATTATCCTACAAAACAAGATAGCCAAGTAGGCCAGATACAGAATGTTGTGACAAAAGCTATGCAAATTAGTTTTTTGTTTACTCTTTGACAGTTTCACATACACACACATAATAAATTGTGGTTATTTTCTCCCCTCTTCCCTTGTCTCATCCCCTTCTCTCGCCCACTGAATCTCTTCTTTCCAACACATCCCTTTCCTACTCTCTTGTCCATTTGTGTGTATGTGTGTGCACGCATACTCACTGAGTTGCTCTCATGATTTAGTGTAGTTATCTCCTAGAGCATGGGCAGCTTACCAGTGACTATACCAGTGAAGAAAACACTGCCTCCTATGCCAGCAACAAATAACCGCCTATAGCTAGCTCCTCAGGATGGGAACTCCTCCCATCCTTGGTAAAACACTGAAGGTACAGGCATAAAACTGAAAAGATTATGTGACCCCACTCTTAATTGTTAGACGTCTAGCCTGTATCTGTACTTGACCTTATAGTCACCTCTTGTTTCTGGTTTCCCCCATCACAAAGATTAACCTAGATGTTCTACAGAGTCTACCCAAAGCTCATCCACTCTGGTAAGTGAATGGGCTCAGTTCTGGATTCTTCCTCCATCGTGGTATCATGCCCTAGGCAAATAGTCCAGAGCACTTTAAGAGGAGAGAAATAAAGCGGTATACAAGTGAGCATGTGTGCATTCATTTCTCCTCTTTACTAAGGATGTCATATAACCAGTTATCTCAAACCACCACCATGGTGACTTCCCCAAAGTGATGGACTGTACCCTGGAAGGGTGGGCTAAAACAAACTCTATCTACCACAAGTTGCTCCTTGTCAAGTTATTTTTCTCTCCAGCAATACCAGTGAAAGTAAAATAGCCTACATCTTGCCAACAGGTCTTTAGAGCCCCCCAAAACCCTAAGTGAATTCTGACAAGTCTGCTTTTATCTTAACTCTCACACCATCCTGTCTGATCTCCCTGCCCCCAGTTCAGGAGCTGAACCTGTCTTACTTTCATCAAAAAATCTTCACAAAATACATTAGGTGAGGATTCCCTTTCTCTACCGATTTTCATAGAACATCCATCACCCTTAATACCCAAGATAGTCTCTTACATGTAACAAAGTCTAAAGGTATGTGTGTTTTCAAATGAAGATGTTAGATATTAGTTCTATTACCATAGGGGAAAGTGTTTGTCAACTGATACTGCTTGGAGACCTGCCCTTCAGACTTCTACCTTGCCATGACTGTAGTCATTGTGGCTAAGATTGGCCTAGAGAAGAGTAGTTATGACACAGAGAGACTGCTGGGGATAACAACCTCCCCTCTATCAAATGGATACTTTCCTCAGTTTTAATCCTCCCCAACACAATAGGTCATCAGTTCACAGACAGCATGTATATTCTGAGTGCTTACTACATAGAATACCCAAGCCCTAGATGTTGAAAGCCATGTATAAGGAAGAGTAGCCGTGGTGACATAGCTCTTCTGGTAAAGTGCTGGACATGCAAGCATGAAGACCTGAGCTGGATTCCCCAGAACCCATATTAAAACTAAGAGCAATACTGTGCCTGAAATTCTAGTGCTAGGGATGCAGAGACAGAGGGATGCCTGGGGCTCACTGGCTATCCAGTCTTTTCTGGATCTGTGAGTTCCAGATTCATTGAGAGGCTCTGTCTCCAAAATTAATGTGGGAAGTGATAAAGAAGACACTGGGCATTGTAGCTCTGACCTCTCTACACAAACACACACACACATACCTATGTGTGTGTGTTAATAAGACAATTAACTTGAGTATTTTTTCCAGTGATTGACACACAGTAGGTGGTCAGGATTAAATATTAGAATATTGATCAACCCTCTAGTACACATAGTAAAATCAGGAAAGACACTAGGTAATAATTCTATGTTTCACTATAGCTCAAGAAGAATGTCCCCAGGGAGAATGAGAATCTTTGTAAAATTCCTAGGATAGACGAGTTCATCTGCCTGCTTGGTTTGCTTAATTCTTTCACATACTTCAAGCTGTCAATCATGTAATATAACGGTAGAAATGACATCCAAATTACTTGGAAACAATATTCTATAAGCACTGAATAATGTTAACATTCCAGGACAATAAGGATCAACCCCCAATGAGCAATATGGTGACAACAAAAGTCCTGGCTGTTTACCTGCCCAGTGGAATCACCATCCCCACGCCAGAAATGGGAACATTTGCTAGCTGGGGCTGGGGAAACACCTCAGTAAGGAAAGTGCCTGCCATGCAAACATCAGAACCCTAGTCTGGATCAGAAACCATGTAAAGGACATGAGTTCCAGACACTCCTATGATCCCAAGTTGGGAAAGCAGAGACTAGAGCATTCCTGCAGCTCACTGGCCAGCCAGCCTAGGCAAATGGATATGCTGTAAGTTCAGTGAGAGATTCTGTCTTAAAACATAAGTGAAAAATGACAGAGGAAATCTGCTGGCATTGACCTCTGTCCTCGACACACATAGCCATGCATGTGCACATACACACAAACATACAGCAAACACACACACACACACACACACACACACACACACACACACACCTGTTTTCTAAACATGAGAAAATGATCATGGGTAAGTGTAGAGGAGTAAGGTCATGCCAACAGGTCAAAGCCAGACCACTTTAAAAGATTTTAAAAATTTTGAAATAATAGCTAGGTATGGTAGTGTGCATCTATACTGGGAGCACATGGGAAATAAGAGACAAAAGATAGGTAGGAAAGAAGTGAGGTAGAAGAAAGAAAGAGAGGCAAGAGGGGAAAGAAGGAAGAGAGAGAGGGAAGGGAGGGAAAGAGGAAGAGAAGGGAGGAGAAAGGAAGAAAGGAAAATGAAGAGGTGAGGGAAGGTATCCTAGAAATTTGAACATTCTAGAAATTTTCAAATTTCTAGGATACCTGAAGTCTAAGAAGAGATTTTTATACTGATTGGTCAAAGGCAATGTAAAATATAATAGTGGATTAATGAAGAAATGATTTTTGCTGGGAGGATTAGCTCTGGGTGGAGCGAACTCAGACAATTTGTCTTTATTGACGCTCTGGTGTGGTCAGGGGCTGTCTAGACTGTACACACTGGGCAGCAGCACCATGAGCGTCTCCCAGTCCCCTCTTCCCCAAGCATTCTTTTAAAGACTCCCCACGTGCCAGGCCGGGAGCAGAGGCAGGTGAATCCCTGCTAGTTCAAGGCCAGCCTAGTCTACAAGAGCTAGTTCCAGGATAGCTAGGACTGTTACACAGGGAAACCCTGTCTAAAACCAAAAAGGGGGGGGCTCCCCATGCTCCCTCCTCTGCCTCTCCTTCCTCTCCTTCATGTACTGCTTGAAGAAATGTTTTAAATTCCTTATACGAAACAGCTATGCCCTGCATGAAAATCAGAATAGAAATAAAATAGTTATATAAGGAAATCTTAAAATAAATAAACAACCAATAGAAGAATAAAAATAAATAAAGACAACATGCATATAACGCCAGTGGAATGGAAGAATACTGAGATGTGACTAGGGGAAAAAATTTATGCAGTGTGTCAGCTGCTAATGTTAATGAGTTAGTTAAATTAGAAAAATCCCAACTGCTCAAAGCAAAAAGCATTCAACCACATAGGATGCCGGGCCGCGGTATGGACGGAGCTATCAAACGCATTCTGTTCAGCTGATTTTTGTGGTTGCTGTTG